ATGATAAAATTTGACTAAAATAATTAGAATGGAATAATCAGAGAGAATGTAGTATATTGTTGCTTTGTACAATATAGAGTCAAATGAAAAAGTTGTTTTTTAGGCCATACCACCATTATTAATCTTCTCATACATTTCAGAAAAAAAAATTCTTCATCACATGGAAACAATACATTTCACATTGAAAATAAAATGAAAAAAAGAAGAAAAGATATGATGGAAACTGTTCAACCAATCCATGTAAATAATTTCAAGGTGAAACATGAATTCGATTTGAACAAACTTCCCAAGATAAATGAAGAATCGATACGATGAGAATTGTTCAACTCAGAAATCATTTCAAAATCAACCATGGATTAGATTTGAACAAGCTTCCGGAGACAAACAAAGACGAAGATATAGTGGAATTTGTTCAGCCAATTCAACCAGAGAATTCTAACGTCGAAGATGCACTCTATTTGAACATGCTTCAGTACGATGATGGAGTAAGCAAGATGCTCAAATTTTTGGTTCATCCATATTTTTATAGTTGAACAAGATTCGGTACGATAATGGAGTATTTTATATTTTTCTCCGATAAATTATGTAAGAATTGTAAGTTAAATGATCAAGTATTATCATTGACTCTTTTTAACATTTTTTGGCAGTATAGTAAGTAGAATGAAATATATTTTATGTATGCAAAATCCAATAATTAAAACTTAAAGGAGAAAACACCAAACGTAAAGGAAGATGCACTACAAAAAAAAGAGGTGGATTATGTCATTTATTTTATGAGTTTACATCATTTTTCGATTGACACAAATGAAATTACATCACTTGTATGAGTGACTGCAAAAATGGTGACTCTAATATTTTGTATCAATGAAAAAGACCAACGCAAATATTTTTATCATTTATTGTAATTGATGTTAATATGTATCGTTTATAAAAAATGAAGCTAAATCTTACATCAGTTTGTATATATGATGTTAAAATATATATTTCTACGGCAATCAATTTGTGAAAATCATTTTTATTTTTTTATAAATAATTGTAACAATATTATTATTTATCAGTAATCATTTATTATATTGATCAACCGGAAATTTAAAGTCAAATTTAATTATAGACTTTAGTTTTTGGCTCACTAATCTTAAGAATGGGTAATAAGTCTCCACTATTTATAGAATATTTTATCACCACTTTTATACTCAATTATCAATGTGGGACAAAACCTAACATACATTTTTAAGTGTCAAAATAAGAAAAAACGAAAATCAAAAAGTATTTCCATCATTTCTTAATTTTATGTCATTTTTCTAAATGATGCTTACAAAAATTAGTACATATATCAATTGTTTTAACTGATATAAATTTATATTTTGTGTCATTTTTTAATAAATTGATGCAAAATACATTGAATTTACATCAATTTTGTTGAAATGATGTCAAAGAAGTCAATAACAACATCAATTATGTTAACTGATCTTAAATCAAAAAATTTATGTCAATTATTATTAAGTAATTTAAATTAATACTATTTAGTTAATTGATACTATTTAAGTGGTTTAATACACTAATTTTTTTGTAGTGATGCAACAAGTCTTAATTTTTTTAACTTGCTAAATAGTTTAAATTATATATAACTTGCTAAAGAGTTTAACTTTATGTTGCAACATTTAAATAACACGGAAAAAATCAAAGATCCAAAATATTCAATTCTGGCGAATTAGACGGTTGACATGTGACGAATTAGGCGGTTGACATGTCGATCGAATACATATCGTGAAGCATATTTGTTAATGTCTCATCCTTCGTATTAACATAAGTTTTTGAATTATCTTGTTGAATGAAGATAGTTTTTCCAACATCTTCTCTCGGCCATTTCTAACAAATTTTCGGAAGAATTTTGTCAATCAAACATCTTTTTAATATCCTCTCTCTTGATGAAGACCATTGGTTTTAATTCCATGGTTACCGCCTCTATATTTCTATTTCTTCATTGAGATGCTTGCATGGTAACGAATGTAAATACTCCAATTTTGCTGGAAAATATCTCATTTCCTTCTCCATCAAATTTTGGTCGAGCCATAGCATTTAAAAACATTACTTTTCCAATGTAGTTTTTACTTTGACATGTACGTAATAGAACTTCTTCATGCATAAGTAGATAATATTTCTATGTCTTCTTGGTCATGTAAAACCATTTCTCGTCAATATGTATAATATTGTACATATCAACAAACTTTGGTTCATGAGGCAAAGTCTTCTTATTGAGCATGGATACGTAAAACTGTAGCTGAGCTTTCATATTACCTTCTCTTAGTTGTGGTTTGATGGTATTGAATTGACATATCATAAGATCTTCCTTTACTCATCTGAAAATATCGTGAGGCTAGCATACATTGTTGCTGGTATCGACATAGATTATCTATATCATCTTCAAAAGAATTAGTTGGTGTCTTATTCAAATCAAAAGAAAACTCTCTCTCAAAATCCTCGTTAGGTTCATTTAGATCGATATTATGAAAAAAACCATAATCAAAATTAGTGTTTACATTCTACCATCTAATGACTAGTTGATAAAACAAGATTTGGCACTAAAACGAAATTTTGAATATTTTCAATTACCTCAAAATTTTGCTCCAAAGTAAAATTTTGTTTAAAGATTCACATTATATATGTATGTAATTGAACAAGAATGGTAGACTTTGTTATTGACAATGACGAATATTGACGAGATAATAAAAGTCGAGAATGAGAATCTTCAACATGGGAAAATGATGCAAAAAATAACATACACAATAAATACAAGATCAATCATGTCTTTGTACTCTTACGTGTGTGTTTAATGGTGGAGTAATAGAAAATTCTAGAATTCATTAGA